GTTGCTCCCATCTCGTCAGTCCAATCCACTTTCAGCACAACTGTCAAGACTCTTGAAGGCAAAATGCTTTGTTCAAGTCATTAATACTTCTCACTCTTGCCCCCAACCCACAGAAACAAACAACAGCAACAATAAACTCTCCAACTCTGCCTGCATACATGGTTCCATTTAATTTTTTTTTTTTTTTTTTTTTTTTTTGATACTGGGATGGAACCCAGGGACACTTAACCACTGAGCCATATCCCCACCCCTTTTTATTTTTTTATTTAGAGACAGAGTCTTGCTAAGTTGCTGAAGGCCTCACCACAGTGCTGAGGCAGGCCTTGAACTTGCGATCCTCTTCCGTGAGCCTCCCCAGTGGCTGGGATTGCAGGCATGCACCAGTGCACCCAGCTCAACTTAGCCCTCTTTTGACTTCACAGCAATGGGAACATGATAGGCACTCAGTAGAAACGGTGCTTGGAATTCTGAATTAGGATCTTTTCCCAGGATAGTGAGACACAGTCCAGTCCTCTTCTGATGTTGGGCACTGACAGTGAGTTCCAGCTCCCAGTGGGTCACATGACCAGCAGGGGAACACCAGCCCTCCACAGAGTCCTGGCTGCTGAGCTGTGCTGTTCAGTGGATCAGGTGGATTCAATGAATTTTCCACTTAGGAAAGTTTCAACTGATGAAGGGTTTGTTGGGACCAAAGCCCATTATGAGTTAAGGAATGTGTGCACGTATCTCCTCTGGTTTGCACCCATAAGCCCCCATGAGTGGGTAGTCCCAGGGCTATTTCCTATTGGACTCATTTACTCCCAGGTCCAGCTGAAGAGAGGTACTGACCCTTGCTTCCACGTGTTCCGAAACCTCTTGCCCTTGGATTGTGCTCCTGGGTTTCACGTTCTCTGACTTGTTGTAGCTTGGATCCTGCTAGTCCTTCCCACAGTTCTCAGCCAGATGTCCCCTCTTCCTCCTCTTCCGTGTTCCTGTGGCTCCTGGTATTTTTTAATGACATTTGATTACTTTCCAGCTTATGTTCTTACAACATGGACGCACAGCTCATTTCCACTTATTAAGTATAAACCCCACGCAGGCTGAGGCTTGGCTTGTGTGGCTGCTTTTCCCAGCAGGACCGGTGCTGTGTTAGAGGAAATATTTGTTCAATCAAAGAAGAAATAAAAACCAGCAGAAGGAATGTTTCTATTTTCCCTGCTCCTCACCACTGCCTCACAGGGCGCTAGGTGAGGTGTTTTGGGGCGAGAGGGCAGGAAGGAGAGAACAGCTCCCATCCTCACAGGTGACTAATGCTTTCCAAAGGAAGTGAAAGATTTGCAGTCATTACTACTTTGCAAAGCTTTATTTTCCCACTTCGGGGCCAGCCCTCCGATTTTGCAATCTGAAAAATAACAAAAAGCAAGCAGTATCTGGATGGCAGTCCCCACGGTCTCCGGGGCTATTTTTAGGTCATTGTAACATGGTTTTAGCAGTGAAATGCTTCTCCAGCTCAGAGTTACTGCAGTTTTTCTCTGACTCATGGCTGTTTCTCACGCTCCCTGTGCCCACAGCCCGTGTTTTTACCTCATTCCTACTCCACCGTTTCCCTCATTTGACCATCCAAATCGGCACACCTGACAGCTGGCCCATTGCCACGGCCCAGCAGCGTCTCCATGGGTATCCACGGTGTGGGGGACTTGCTGATGGTTGTCTGTGGCCACGAGGGCCCATGGGCCCCTGCAAGATGTGAAAGGGTGGAGATGGCAGGCAAAAAAGAGTCGAAGGTCCCCTAACCAGAGAATGGACAGAGATGGGGAAATTTCCCCCAACGGACCAGCATAAAATGACCTCAAATAAGCTGATTTGATTTATTCTAGCAAAAATGGAGCAGGATGTACCAAGTGCTGATTTAGTACTTCTCATCAATAGCAAGGACCAAATCATCCCAGCTTCCCAGCAGCAGGGCCCACCCTGCTGGCCCCAGGGCTCCATCCCTCCAATCGCTGGCTCCATTACCATTACTTTAGTGTCCCTCCAAGCACAGAACTGGGAACAAAAGCATCAAGAACGGTTTTTAGGCTGCAGAGTCTGTTCTGGCTGCCCAGCCACCAGCACTTAGCTGGGTGGTTTTGCACATGCTGGGAGCTGAACAAGTGCCTGGCCCTGGGAATGCAGTGGGTAGAGAACTGAGTCTGGAGATTGGAGACCTCGGTTTACGTTGACCCAGATCCCAGTTTTGCACGTCCCCCTACCTCTGCCGTATGACCTTGGAGCTCCAATTTTTCAATGTCAAGTGCATTTAGTCAGATTTACATTTCTGTGAACAAAATACGGGACAAGAATAACTTAGAGGAAGGAAAGTTATTTTGGTTCATGGTTCCAGAGGTTGAGCCCATACTTGGCTGAGTCCATTGCTCTGGGCCCAGAGTGAGGCAGAACATCATGGTGGCAGGAGAGATGGAGGAAGGCTGCTTCCTTCATGGTAGCCAGGAAGCAGAGGGGAGAGAAGGGGACCACGGCGAAGATGTACCCTTCCAGGGTATGCTCCCAGGGACCCACTCCATCCAGCCATGCCCCAGCTTTGTACAGTTATCACCCAGTCAGTCCACTAAAACTGAGATGGACTCTTTAGGGTACCACTCTCTGTCCGATCATCTTACCTCTGAACACTTCTGCATTAACACAGGAGCTTTTAAGGGACACCTCATATCCAAACCACAACGCCAGGAGATCTCTAAGTCACCCGCTGCCATTCACACACTCTGCTTTTATTTGTGGTTGGTCAATATTGTCATCTGTTACTACCATCAGCCCCCCTGCAGTTCCACAAACGCCAACATCGTATCCACTTTATTCCTCTTCAGTCTAATTTCCACACTTCAGCCAGAATCATCTATTTTTTCTTATGTAAACCACAACATTTAACTTCTCTTCTTAATAGTTTAAAAGTCCAAATCCATTGTTGTGACTCATGACCTAGCTTTGCCCTGTCCCCCAATTCAGCTGCACCCCCTGATTCCCTGGCCCTACGGAGCTGTTCTTCCCTCTGTCTGAAGGTCTTTCCATGTCTCTTATGACTTATTCCTACTCCCTCTTTAGTCTCAGTTAGAAAAACCGTTCCCTTTAGAAAACCATTCCTGAGCATACCTGTGCACCCAGGGCTGGTGCGGTCTTACCACTCTGCCTTCCAACTGTCTGTTCACACTCCTCTTCCCGAGACAGTCCCTAAACACAGCAGACCACCTGTATCTGGTCACATCCTTGGCATCAGCACAACATGGACAAATAGCTGAATGGACATTGGAGGTGCTCCCACCCCATTCCCCCATTGCATCTTCTTCCCCAAACCCCTGATCCTCTGCATCATAGGAACTTGTGCCCAGGTACTGACAAGCCAAGACTCCCTGGGCACTGCTTTTCATCATTATGGCCACTACAATAAGTGCTCTTCAGGCCTCCAAGAGGAAAAGAAAATCAAGGTTGGATCTGTGAGTCGATGATCAACTTTCAAATCCTTAGGTAGAAAAAGGTAGTGTGCTAAAGGTGCTTAACTTAAAACTCCAAAAATTGCACTTGGTCAAAAAAAAAATTGAAGTCTACAAAAGATAGAATGTACAAACGGATGCTTTCCACTCTCATTATCTTCAGCACATGAAATAGAGAGAAATATCTTTATGTGCATATACTCTAACCTCAATCCAGGTCCCCTCTATATTGAAGAATTTATCCCATGGTGTTAAGTCACATATAACAACAATAAGGCATGTACCCTACCACAGTCCAGTCTTATTCTATGGTGAGACATTGCTATGGATCACACAAGTTTTTCTCTGCAGAATCCATGAACACAGTGCTGGTCCTCAGCCTAAGCACTGCTCTCTAAAAATGTCCTTTGTTAAAATGCAAAGGCTCCCAAGGCTGAAAAGCAGTCAAAACACTGGGGTCTGGAGGTAGATTTCCTTAGCAAGTGTTTTTGTTAAGATGAAAGAGCAAGAAAGACTTTGGGCATCCCTGGAAAAGAGCCATGGAAAGTGGACAGGAACATTAGGGAGAAACCAGCACCTGAGTTATGACTGCCAAGCTTATTTGCTTTAAAGCAAAGTCTGCGGAAATCCACCAGGTAGGCGCTGTTGGAACCCGCGTTGTTGGGCATAGGCTCTCCCCCTCTTTCTCCTGCTCCTGCTCTCGAAGCTTCCATCCCTGACAGAACTGCACTGGATGAACTCACCCCCTGTACAGGGACTGAGAGGTTCTCCAGGTGAGAAGAGCTTATGCGAGCCTAGAGAGGAACAGGATCATTCTCCAGTCTGCAGGTCTCCTACTTGGTGTGGTCCCTCCGGTAGGAGCTTGCAGCTGGATGGGAAGAGCAGCAAGGGAGCGTGCCTGTCACTAGGTGGAGGTCAGGCACATTCCCTGATTACAGACTGGGGCAGCATTTCTGAGTGCTGGTGTCGCCAGGTGGCTGAATGATGAAATCTAGGCCAGCTACTTGATTCTCCCCCACCTCCCGTGAGGCCATTCTGTAGGACCCTGGGCAATCGTCCCAGGCCCTCCAGGTGCTCCGATGGCAGATGTGGATGCAAATAAGCCCATCAGGACCAGGCCCCAGGAAGGGCCAAAACACACTCCACCTGTCAAATGCCTTTTTAAGATGGAAAGTATTTAGAGGCCTCAGATCATTCAGCCACCCAAATATTTTAATTCCAAATGGAACCAAAGACAAACATTTTCTTGGGAAAGCAACATGTGTGGCTTTGGAAAGATTAATTTTTCATAAGGGAGTGAGAGGAAGTCGTGACTTGCCATGTTTGCGCTCACACCTGCACATTCATTCCTATGCACGTGAGCATGCCACAGGTGTTGAAGTCAAGCGACAAGTATTCGTCTTACCTGGAAGCTTAAACATGGTCAAACCCCCTTTAAACCAACATAGAGAGACTCTGACAGAATGGTATGCTTTTGTGGAATATTCCAGAAGGTCCTGAGCAAGCGTAAGGTGACTTTCTCTGTGCAGTTCTTACCTGGCAATGTAAGCAACAGTGCCAGCAGCCAACAATGTGATTCCTGTCTTCTTGGATGGATAGTGATGTGGCCTGAGGATGACTTCAAGCAGCGAGAAGGGCAATATGAACGTGTGCTGGAGGAGAAAAGACGGCAGATCATGAGGGTGTCCTGGCTGCCCAAGGTACCCATGATTCTCTCCTCCTTCTCCAGTCTGCCCACTCGCACACTGAAGGCTGGACTTTCCACAGCTGGTTTAAATCACGCTCCTTGGGGGCCCAAAGACCTACAGTGTCTCCCTATTCGCTACCATATTGATCTAAACTCCTCTGTCTGGCTACCAAGGCTCTTTATAATGTGTCATCAACCTTAATGGCCCTGCTCACTGCCCACTGCCACTGCCATCCTCTTCTAAAACACATGTGCAAACACACACATGTGTGCACACATGCACACACCTATACATGAAAACACAAGCATGCACACACTCATACATTCTTTCAAATATACAGCGTCCCATGCACATACTCTCTCTCTCTCTCTCTCTCTCTCTCTCTCTCACACACACACACACACACACACACACATTCAACCTCCACAGGAACTAGGCCTCATTCTCCATTGTACTTAGCCTATTTCCCCCACTTCCAACAGTGCTCCGGGTAGGACTAAACTCAGTCACATGTTGCTACATGAAACAGGGGACACAGAGGGGTAAGACATGTTCCCTGTCCCCAGAGCTTGTGGATCTGCACCCCAAGTGTCAGACTGCACGGCGCAGGGTATGATGGTAGAACTGGGTGACCCTCTCTCCTTGTGGACCTTGTCTTCTCTCTCTGTTTTCTGATCCTCTCTGTTCTTTGTGGCCAACGCAATCTCCCAGGATGATGCCTCTGAATTCTCCCTGTGCTACTTTCTCTCACTCAGTTCTGCTGCCATGATATCCTGCACCCTGCAGTCTGGCACTCGGGGTGCAGATCCACAAGTTCTGGGGACAGGAAACACATCTTACCTCTCTGTATCCCCCATTGCACGCAGCACCGTGTGACTGAGCTCAATCCTGCCAGGGGCACTAGGTTCTGTGGGGTGTGCATACACCTCCCTGGGTAACCTTCCACGGCCCCCCTTCCCTGCATCACCCCTAGTTATAACCATCTGTTTTCTCACATCTTCCGAACTCTTAAAACTAGACTTGTGAAAATGACATAAGCCAGGGATCCACCTTAGGAGGGGTGGTGTTTGTGGAGACTACTGAAGCTCACCCCTTCTTGGCTTTGGAAACTCATCTGGGAAGGGTCACTGGAGACATTGCAATGCCCTTTCATTTACTGAAAACATGCACAAACCCCTCTGGCCACATTCTGTACTTATTGGCAATTTCCAATCGTGTTATAACGTTCTGTTTTTCAGAGTTGCGGTTATTATTCCTCTTTCATTCCTGCACCCCAATTTCCACAGTCTTGGCAGCTTCTTGCATATAAAGCATCTGCTTTCCAGCTCCATTCCACTCTGATCCTGAGCCTCCAGGTAGCTGGCTGATCACGGCAGTGCTTAGAGCTCAGGAAGGAAACTGGGCTCCCATTCCACGTGTTTGGAACAACAGTCCTCGGCTCCAGGCACTCTTTACCAGCAGGTGCTCAGGAGGCATTCCCAAGAGGGAGTAGGTTCCTCCCAGCCCAGACAAGCCAGCTAGGGCACCCTAGGTCATCAATATGACCCTCTGATGACAAGAAATGTGACAAGTTTTGATGGGGCAGGGGTGGGGCAAGAAAAATTAATTCTTGGGGGTAGAGAAGGGGTGGCCATCACTGGGTAGAGAAGACTTCCTGGAGGGTGACACAAAACAACTGGGACCCCCATTTTGGTAACAAATCCCAGTGGGACAACATTGCTGACAAACCATGGCTGTTCTGCCCGAGCTTGGTCCCAAACACATCGATCATTGGATGTGCCAGTGGAACAATGTCCAGGTCAACTCTTTGTGTCCTTCTTTGGTCTGAGTTTAGGCTGCTGCTCATCTGTGTCCTCCTCCAACAAAGGAGCGCCGGTGTTTGAGGACACAAGCTCCCAAACCTAACCTCAGGCTAGTTACTAGCTACCTCTGACCTTCCTCCGTCCTTCAGCTTCAGGGCGGTGCTATGAGGACCGGGGCACAGGCCTGCCAAGTACTTAGTCATGGGCCCCGTGAGAGCCTCCAGTGACATTCACTGTGGATGTCACTATTATCAGTGTGACTGCCATTCTGCATCTCACTGGTGGGCCCAGGGGGTCAAGGCCAAGGGTCTGGGATAGTGTCTGTCCAGGTGGCTGGGTGTCCGCTGACCTGTGGTTTGCAAGAGGCGGCCATGTGCACAATGCTGGACTGTGGGACTGTCCTCCTGGGCAGTCGTGGGGGCTTCCTCCCATGGGGGTCGAGGGCACTTCAGTGACTGATTTCCATGCTCCCTTTATCCAGGGGCCACCCTCAAGAGGCGAGAGACAGCACTGTGTGTGCGGCACAGCCATCTGCCTCTCTGCCGGCGTGCACTCTCTGCAGCCAGAAGGAAGCCTTGGCTATTAAGAGCCATTAACAGGCCCATTATGCTGACCACTGATCTGACAGATTTTATTAACCTCGCCCACAATCAGCAGCTCCCTGTTCTCGACATTAATGATCATCTGGAACAGGATTCCTGTGGAATAATGTAGCGTGTTTGCTTTAGGAGCAAATGAGTCTGTGGTGATTAATGCTTTTACAATAAACAACTTGGGAATGCATGGCTGGTCACCTCTTCAAGGAGTCTGCCCTTTGTATGTGACATTCAATTGGATTTCCAAATGAATTCCCCCTGACGGCTTCTGGGAAATGGACTTCGGTGATGTCATTAGTGATGGGCCATAGGCGGTGGCTTCACACTAGCTGGAAGGTTTTTAGAAGATCCACATTTTCTGGTGGGGGCAGGGTGGGCCTGGGAGACAGGAAGACCCCATTCTGTGAACTTTCTAAATATTGAGCTGCCGTAAGGTGCCAAGAAGGACCGAGGAACCTCCCGGAATTTCAAATGTACTTGAATTTCCACCACACATTGACATCAGTTATATAACCTTTGTTAGATAGCATATTATATTCCAAAAAAAAAGGAAGGGAAAAAAATCAGTAAGAGAAAAATCAAATATGCTTTCTGCTTCCAAAAAATCTAATAATTAGGCTGGGATTGACACAAATTAGCATGCTGCCAAAAATTACGGAAAACAGTGACTCACTCTGTATTTCAATTAACAGTTTCTCAGTTTCCCTTATAAACAGTGAAACTGACAAAAATTAATTATCTCAGAGGGGGTAAAATATTTCCTTTCAAAGTAAACAAAGCACCCAGGGCTGAAACAATAGCACATGTAAACAGAGGAATGAAGTTAATGTTTTCTGTCAGCCGAGTCCTGTTTAGGGGGACTTTGCTCTAAGTGTCACCTTTCAAGTGCATTGGTCAGAAGGACAGCGTTGTTCTTTCCCCATCCATTACTCCCGCCATTGTCCCTTCCCCTTCCAGCCTTTGTATAATTTCCACTTCTATCCGAATATCTTGAAGACAGAACCATAAGCATTGATTTAAGTATTAGCAAAATAATTGCACTTGAGATTCTCTGGTGGCAAAATAGCCTTGGAGAGCATTACTAAAACTCACCAGCCCATAAAACATTCTTAAAAGCTTGCATGAGTGAGTGGCAACTTGGAAAGTAATGATAATGATTTAAGAACTTGTTTCTACTCACCCCATAGCAGGAGATAAGTAGCTTTTATAAACAATTTCCCTGCATATGAGGCCAAACTCGGAGTGGAAGCATTTGGCCTGACTCCTGAGAAAGGGGCAAGCCTTTGTCACCGAGATCATCTGTGGAGCCCCAAGTCATGGAGGCTCCAAAGACTGGATCCATAAAGAGGGGAGGGTCACACTCTTCCTAAGAGCACTTAATTTCCTCCAGTGAAAGAAATTCGAGAAGCTGACACATTTTACAAATCCCATGACAACATTTAAAACTATAATCTCTGCTTCCTTCCTCTGTTACATTTTACCACCAAGCTCTCTCTCTCTCTCTTGTGTTGAGTTGACTGCAATTGCCACACAGGCCAATCATCAAGGGGCTTCCTTCTTGAATGCCCTGCCATAATACTGTCCACTTCCTGTGTGCCTCACATAATACTGCCCACTTCCTATGTGCCTCCATGTTCTTGTTCTTCCCTCTGTTCAGGCAACATGTGGACCTGAGAATTAGTTCCTGATACTGGCTTTCCCCAGCTGAAGTCTATTCCTTCAAGTCTCTAAGAGAATGCCTTTGGATTGTTCATGGTACTAACAGATAGATATTTTTAATGAAGTTTTAGTGTACTGACAAAATCTCATCTGGGCACACAGAGGAAGATTTGGGGCTCATAATACATTAGATGTATCTTCTTTTTTAATTTAAAAAAAGAGCCTTCACAAAAGCTCTGCAGGGACCAACACATCATCAAAACATCAATTACAGTTTTAAACACAAAGAAAACAAACGTGGAAATGGAGGAAACACAATCTTGATAGAGTGTCATTATACCCAGGCTTCTTGTTACACTGCGGGAGCGTCCCTTAAGTTTAAAAACTGCATGCAGTAAAGACTTGGAGTAATAGTTGCTCCTTAAATTCTAGCAATGAAAGCCCTGGTTTCTGTGCTACCACAAATAATCTACCTCTCTCTACATCCCCTATAAGAACAATGGCGAAGGTCTTGGACACACTTCCAGAAATATTTTATATCTAAAACAGAAACCATCTATATTCTCTATGTTCCTTATCCTGTAAAAGGCACAATTTCTATTTACGTGAATCTCATATAGGTAAATTCGGAAATGTACCCATGGGCCATAGAGCTTATATTTCTATATAAGCTCTCTTTGCTATCTGCAGGAGTGTTTTTTCAATCACAAGTTTTCAGATGACTGAATTTGCAAACAATTTCTATTCCACTTTCTAGGAACTCACTGGCAGCTCCACCACTGTAATTAAAGAGTCAGTGGTGAAATGCCTGGGGTGGAGGGAGAGGGAGATAAACACCCACAGAAAGAGCCACAGGCAGGCTTCTCTTTGATCTCCAGATCCACCTAGGTGGGCTGAGCCAGGTTGC